GCCTGGCCATACCCCCAGAGCCTACCCCGACCCGGCCTGGCCATACCCCCAGAGCCAACCCCGACCCGGCCTGGCCATACCCCCAGAGCCAACCCCAGCCCGGCCTGGCCATACCCCCAGAGCCAACCCTCAGCTCCCAGCCAGCCTCTGCCAACAACCCAGCCTGATCTGGGGGCTCCATTTAAGACACACACGGCCAAATTTTCAGAGGTGCTGAGCACCTGCAGCACCCGCTGCCTAGGCTCGGCCCCCCCACCCCCCGCCACCAGCCACAGCCCCAAAGTCCTGAGCTTTCTGAACCCCCAGGGTTTGCCCTCGATGCGCCTTGCGGGCTCTGAGCTGCGAGGGGCTCTCCTCCCCGGCCCCGGGGCTCCCAATCCACAACTCATGAGACTCCCCTTTGTGCACAAGTCGGCAGAGCCGCAGGCCCTCGCCCCCACCCCCCAGTCCCAGTCCCCGGCTGGGCATCCAGGAACCGAGGCACCCGAATCAGAGGAGACGCTGGCCCAGGAGTCTGCCCCTTCTCCTCACCACAGGGCGGCTGTGCCCCTGGCCAGCCCCCCCAGCCCCGAGCGCTAGCGGGGCCTGGGCTCGCCCGTCGGGTGTTGGGAGTGGGGGACACGTCCCCTCCTTCACTTCCAGCCATGCTCCTGCTGTAGCAGCAGGGCCCCGGGTTGCAGCAGTTAGCGAAGAGCATGCTCTGCCCCAGCCCCCCCTTCTCCCTCGGCTGCACGGACCCAGCGCAGCGGCACCCAGGGCAGGGCCTTGGCACACGGCAGCAGGCGGCTGTAACCCAGGGGACCCCCGAGACCCTGGGGAATCCAGTCAGCAGCAGGGTCAAGGGGGCAGTCCCTGCTGCCCCACCAGGGCTGAACAGGAGAAGAGGGACGGCCCCTGCTAGGAAGAGGGGCCAGACTCCTCCCTGGGGTGAACACACTGAAGCCAAGGAAGTTACCCCAGGGGGGAACCTGGCCCAGTGAGCCTAGGAAGCCGGGGCCTGGACAGCAGGGCCCAGGGAGCAGAGCCTGGCCCCAGCGTGGGAAGCAGAGATCCTGCCGAGGGGTGCATGCGTCCCACACTGTGGCTGGCTGGGGGCAGGCGATCCCTGCAGGCTGCTGGAGTCTCTCTGCCAGGGGATCAGGTTCGCAGCACAGCCCTCCCCCGCAGCCCCAGGGGGAGCTGAAAATCACATTGCCCCACTCCTGCGCCCGAGGCCCGCCCTCAGCTGTAAGGAGACACCCAGGCGAGGTGCAGGCTCACCCTGCAAGCCGGCTGCACAGTGCCAAGGCCACCTGCGGCCCACTGGGGCTTCCCTGGGGTCCATGCTCACAGGGCCCCGGCACACACGGCGGCTGGTCGCCGGGCGGCACTGTAGCCAGGGATGCCAGCACCAGGGGGGTCGGCTCCCCTGCTTCAGGCCATGGGCAGCTCGCCCCATTGGGCAGGCGCATCAGGAGGGGAAGGGGCAGCAGGCAGTGGCCGCTTAGAGAGGCAGGACAGCCTGGCTCCGAGTGGCAAAGCCGGTGCTCCCACAGGACAGCTCTGCCCCTCAGGAGGGCACCCCTGTAACAGGCACCTAGCCCCACAGCGCCCCCCATTCACCTGCTGAGTGCACAGACGCAGGGGGTGGGAGCTACTGCCGGGGGGGGGCACAGCTCTTTTGGGGTGTGGGACTCTGGGGGCTGGGGAGAGAGGGAGGAGCCCCGTGGAGCCCGCACCCTCCATCTCCACCTCAAAGGGCAGGAGACACCTGCCTTCTTGCCATCCCCCAGCCACCTGGGCCTGCTCCCACTGCACACCCCTGTGCAGCAGCCAGGAAGGACCCAGCAGAGAGGCCAGGAGCACCCGCAGGTGGACCCCACACCCTGCCCCTCCGGCACTCAGCCCACCCGCCCCCACCCGCAGTGCAGCCCCTTACCCGGTAGAGACCTATCCAGTCCCAGGAGCTCCTGTGGAAGACGGTGGCCATCTTGTATTGGACAATGGCTTGCTCGGGTCTGGACCACTCATCGGCCACTTGAATCTCAACCAAGGGCTTGTCGGTCTTGGAGGCAAACTGCCAGGGAGAAGCACAGGGCGTGAGCGGGGGCAGCGGCACCCCTGAAGGGGAAGCTCTGCCAACGCTGCCAAGCGCCTCCGTCGGGGGGCTGGACCCTCAGGGCCGTCCCAGAGCCGCTCCAGCAGACCCAGACTAGGGCTGGGGAGAGCCGGCCAGCCCTGCTAGGGAGCTCCAGAGGAGGCGACAGACTCACCTGCACGGCGAAGATGGCAGCCACAGGCTTGTGGTCGCTCACCATGTACTCCATGTGGCTGCAGTAGCAGAGCTGGGTCACGGCCAGGCCGGTCCTGCTGGGCCTCCGGCCGCCGGGGTTGTGCGGGGCACCGCAGGACTTGATCTTCCAGAGGATGCGGTCGGTCCAGGCTGGTTTCCGCTTCTTGGCGCTGTGTGGCACAGGTGGGCACCGTTCAATTGGCACAGGGCAAAGGGGTCTCCCTGCAAACCGCCCCCCGCCCCAGCGCAGGCCCTGGGGGAGGGGAACGGAGCACAACTTGGGGATGCTCCCTGGTGCAACTGCAGGGTTTCCCCGGCACAGAGTGACTGCAGCCTCCCCCATGACAAGCCCCATGCCCCCCGCGCCAACACGGCCGCCCGTCCCCTCCGCCCCCCGCGCTGACATGGCCGCCCGTCCCCTCTGCCCCCCGCGCCGACACGGCCGCCCGTCCCCTCCGCCTGTCCCTATACCCCCGCGCCCGTACACTCCACCTGTCTCCATGCCCCCTGCGCCAACACGGCCACCCGTAGCTTCCACCTGTCCCTATGCCTCACGCGCCGACACGGCCGCCCATCCCCTCCGCCTGTCCCTATACCCCCGCGCCCGTATGCTCCACCTGTCTCCATGCCCCCCGCGCCAACACGGCCACCTGTATGCTCCGCCCATCCCTATGCCCCCCATGCCGACACGGCCGCCGTATCCTCCGCCCATCCCTATGCCCCCCGCGCCGACACGGCCGCCCGTACCTTCCACCTGTCCCTATGCCTCGCACGCCGACAC